CCCCCCCCCCCCTTTTTTTTTTAAAGATGAGCAAATGTGTCTTGTGGATTTGCAGATGTTTATTGCTTTGCTTTTTCCCCAGGAGCACCCCTTCTCCCCTTGTCTAGATTTCCACAGAATATTATCAGTGAAAGTATTTGGGTTGCCTATGTGCATTTTGGGTGTTGCATAAGGGTGCCCAAGCAGTCTTCTTGAACTCTTGTTAATGCATCTGTTACAGGGCTTGGAAACCCCAGATTTCACATCCTTTCAGCAAATTTCATACCTGAGAGAGATGGTTCCTTCCAGTTCATGTTGCTGCTGTAAAACTGGTTGATGGACTTGACTCGCTTTTCTTGCATCCCTTGTCACCAACTTGCTTTTGTGAACTGGCCTGAGAAATATTGGCTTCCAGTTTTCTTTTTGTTAATGTCTTTGTTTTGAGGAGTGGGAGGGGTTAAATGGTTAATGCAAGAAGGATATGATGACACCAAGCCTTCCCTGGCTGTTGGGGCTTTTCAGCATAGCTTCTCTTAGTCAGTGCATTTGGGGACGAACCTCAGCGCTGAATCTTTTTGCTTACTCTTGGAAGTCTTGTGAAACGCTTTCTTCAGTTTATTCTAGTAAATATCTCCTAAAATGACTAGTTAGGCTCTTAGGAGCTTGGGAGACCTTGCAATAAGGGCTGCATCATTTCTACCACTTCGGGTTATTGTCAGTGTCTGTCAGACTTTCTCCAGTTGCAGGGATCGGTTCCTGGTGTCACTGCTTTTCTGCTGTCCTGATCACGTTGGTTCAGCACATTTGGTTCTGATTTTATACACCCCAGTGATCTTTCTGTATTATGCTCACACTTGTGTATTCAAGATATGTAACAATACCCAGGCTTTAAAAGCACCCAGGCCTTGATCTGCCCTAGCATTTAAAGCTGATTTCAGGATAAGCAAAGCTTGTGAATGAACAGAGAATCATTCCAAAAGGTCAGAGGTGTACGTTAGGGATATGAAGTTGGTTGAAGAAATCTGTAGAATGGTTTTTGCATCGTTCTTCTTAACGTGCTCTTGCATCAACCTAAATGTTTGGAAGTCTAATAGGAAAAAAACCCCCAAAAACACCTGAGCTCTGATTTATATTTTGTATGGCATTGTTTTGTTTTGAAGCATCCAGTGCTGTGTATGCATTTTGCCTTATATAGCTAACTGACTATTTTCCTTCCCAGAGGAGCGGCATTTATGAGAGAAAATCTGCTAATGGAAAGCAAATAAGTGGATGTTTTTAGTTTTATTAATGTTAGGCGTAAGTCTTGGGGTATATCCACGATGCTAAATTAGCCTTTTGCCTTTCCAGGCACTTATCCTGCTCCTACTTTCTCTCTCCACACACAAGGCTCCAGTATCCGTTTCTTTGCCTTTAGGATCCATGCTTCTTTGCATGGCTGGAGGTGCGAGTTAAAGCTGGAGCTGTACTTTGTTTTGGAGCTAATCTCCTTTACAAATTCAGAATTTGTCACTTGAAAAACATCCTTAAAAAGTTGTAGCGCAAGAATGGTTAATACAAAGCCTCATCTTTTCTAATTGGTGATTTGCTCTTCAAATTAAAAGGATATGCCAGCTTTCCCAACCATCACAGTTCTGTCTGAATTTACTTACTGTTCCCACTAACACTGAAGATTATTGTAACCAAACCAGATTGGAGAAGAAGGATCTCTTTTTGCAGCTGAATGGGTCTAATGCACTTTGAGCACAGGTTTCCCTGGTGCTTGGAGACTTCTTGCTGTGATGGGGAAGAAAATATTTTTAAAAAATAGGAAAATGTGATTGTAAAATTGCAAAATTGGTAGAGGGACTTGGGGACAGGCATGGCCTATTTTCAGCTATCTGAAAAAGATTAATTACATTTCAGTTGCTGATGTCCCAGTAACTGTCGTGAAACCCATTTCTTGTTCCCTTCTCTGATGATGGGCTCTCAAAGCCGGAAGTCATTGGAGTAGATGCAAACCTGATGACTGGTTTGCATCGGGTGTATATTTATTTGGTTCCTTTGTGCATTTGGTTATGTTTTTAAGTAAAGTTAAAATTAACACTATACTTTTTTAGTATTTACATGAACTAATTTTAGTGTTCTCTTTCAGAATACAGGTTTGCTTTGGGACACACCCCTGTTGGATTTAATACCTGCCCTGCTAGCGACAACTTTCAGCTATGGAATCGGTAAATATTTGGGTTACTTGCTTTTTGTCCAGTGCACTTTCTTTTGTCTAGTGTTATTTGTATACAGAATCCAGGTACTAAAGCAGGCATGGTGGCCATTTTTCATTTGCCTCTGATCTTTGTATAAGGAAAGTGGATGTTGTAAACCTTGGATTAGGTGAGGTGGACTGGGTTAGATTTTGTTTAAGCCTTGCCTGTCTTTTATTAGAAATATCTTGTAATTCCAAATGCAAGAAGGTTTTCTTTACAAATAAATACTAAAACCGGTGATTTGTGTTTGGACTGTCTAGCATTGGTTTGCGTAGCTTCATTAAAGGTCATAGACCTTCCTGATGTATGTGGCTGTACCCTGTGTAAGTGTGTGGGGTACTTTCAGTTTTAATATGAAATGGGTCATGGGCATTTAGTGTATTCCCTCATTCCCAAAAAGTACCTTTTTAAAGAGACTGAATTAAAAACGCAACTTGTCTCTCTTCCATCTGTTTGTGCTAATTAATGCAACTGAAACTAGTAGGGTTTAGACTTCAGTATTCTTTTTGCCCAAAATTAGTGAATTAAATCTTTGTAATATTACTGCTATTCATGCAAGCTGTTAAGAACTTGCATCATTGTAATGTACTAGCTGTGGAAACTGATAGATTCTTTTTTATACATAAAAGCTGTTTGTTGGAGTGACTGAGTGTGGAGTATGTGTGAATAAGGTTAATTTGAGATGGATCATGGGGGAGACCATAGATTGCAAAAAGCAAAATGCTAGTAGCCTAACCAGTGGAGAAGAACTTGCATCTCTGCTCTTTCCCTAGTACTGGCAGTTCCAAAGAGCAGAAGCAGCCATTGTATATTCTCATAGAAAGCTGGTTTTTCCCCTTTTCTCATGGTGCAAGCCATCAGCTTCTAGCTGGGGAGAGTTGTGGAGGGATTATTCAGGGATGAATGTTGAGGTCCTAAAATACTCTGGTGAAGGATGTGCAATAAATAACCTAAAGGGAGTGTTCTGGTTCTGTCTTGGGGCTCTTGATGCTTGATTGACTTGTGCTTTATGCAGCAGTGAAATGGTTGTAATTTAGTTATCACTGTATGCTCATCGCTTTTAATAAAGGTGACTAATTCCCTGATAGAGATCCTGCTGAATCAGGTGGCTTGATATACAAGTTTATGGGATTTATTTTTCTTGTTTGGATTTTGAAAACAAAGCCTATTCTACTAAGTATGCCCCTGTTAATATTCAAGTATTTGGATTTAGACTAGATGCTCTTTCACTTTCCCTTAGTGGGTATAAATAATAATAAAAACCTTGGGTGGTGAAAGGGAGCCAGGCATCAACAGCTCTCCCCTGCTGCAGCCTAGCAGTTAGTGTGATGGAGGAGGGGAGCCCTTGGTGTGGTGTGCAGGAAAGACGGATCGCTTTAATGGGCCGTCAGCTCAGACTTCTCTGTGGCATCGTGCAACCTCCACAGCAGATGTAAAGCTCAGTGTTTGTTAACAAACTGGACTTCAGAATTAGATACAAGTAATGGTGATTTGCCTTATTCATCTAGACTGTGAAGTAAGCAGTGCACAAGGCTGTGTTTTTACTTGGATTTGCTCTCTTTCAGCTACAAGAAACTGTTCATGGACGTATAAGCATATGCTCGTACTGTACTTGAGATGGAGTGTGAGTTGTATGAGCTAGTATAAGATCTTGTGGTCGATTTTATACTTATTTTGTGCATTGTGCATATGCGTTGTGTATTGTGCATATGCTTTGGAAAGTGGAGATTTTTTTTCTGTTTATGATGGCACCTAACATGTTTGGGTTAGGGCTTCTTGGGCTTTCCAGTGCTACAAGAAGAGGAGCTCATGGCCAGAGGATGTTTTCCATCAATATACAGGTCTCTTATCTCAGCAATGCTGTGATATCACAGTTTCTAAATTGGTCCTGGATTGAATGTTGCCTCTTTGGTCCATCACCGTTTGGAGAGATTTGGAGCAAGGGGGGAGAATTTTAAAAATACGAGGCAAAAGGCAAAAAAAAATGCTGTTAGGTGTAGTGTATATTGAAATAGCCTCTGTAGAAATGGGTTAGTAGGCTCTCCATGCTGGTGAGGAGGTCATGGTTTACATGGTCATAACAGTTTATCACATGAATATCACTAGCATGTGTGTGTACTTGTACACTATCTCCCAAGAAACCCAGGGTGTGAATGAGATTTGGCACCAGCCTGAAAGGCTGGCTGAAGCTTTGAAACGAGCAGTTTAATGCATTGTCTGACTCCACGGAGAGCATTGCCCCTCTGCATCGAAGCCTTTGAGGTATATTTTGGTCTTATTACTGGAAACCCAGATAGGCAGGTGGCATCATAGCAGTTGGCTATTGTAGGAAGATTGCATCTCAGCCAAAAGTGGTTGTCTTTTGTCTGTGAATGTGTGACCATCAGGATGAATTAGCATGTACTTGAGTGAAAATGCAGGGGCCAAATACCTAAATAAATTCGTCCTTTAGTTTATAGCAAAGTTTTGCTGAGCAGCCTTGGTCACTACAAAGGCCCCTGCATTTAATTCAGTGGGCACTCCACAAGTGACCTAAACAATCTGGATGATGGTAGCAATGTCCTACCATCGCATCTGGTTTCTGAAGGTGGCGGAGCTACAAGCAGAGCGGGATTAGCGGGAGTGGGGCGCTGAAGGTCTGTTGTCTGCCAGGCACCAAGAAACTCCCTTCCCCAGAATGGCCATGAATCTTATCACTTCTTCGGTCGAAGTACAAAACTCACCTTTGCTGTCCTGTGGTAGTAAAGAAAACAGAACCTGTCTAAATGAATGGGAAGGGGAGAGCTGAGGGAACAACCTAAGAAACTAGCTTCAGACATTTTGAATTTATGTAATTCTGCAAGATGCCCTTACCCTGGTAACGCGTCTAGGATACATGGATTTTTTTTTTTCCCTTGCCAAGCTGTTTAAAGCATTTGTTCTTAACAAGTTAGCTGGATCCTGTTATGAGGGTTTTTTTTTGCAGAAAGAATCTGCCACAATACACTGAGCTAATTCTCCAGGATTCAGTGATTTGAATGTTTCTGTATCATGAAACTCTAGTGTAAGAGCTGACAGCTGGTATAATTCTCACTTCCCTAACATCTTCATTAGAGAAGCAGAGAGGTCAGGGCTTTCTCAGAGTGGCAGAGAGATTGAAATGGCTTTTGATGGTGGTTTTGGCACTAGTATTTCACCAAGTTCGTGATGAACATGTAGGTGTAAGATTAAAAGGATGAATAAGGTAGTGCTGCTAAACAGAATTGCTTTTCAGAGCTCGAGTTCTGCCTCGTTCTGACCTCCTGAGAAGGATACAATTGTAGAGCTGAGGCCCATAGTGAAAAGGCAATTTCAATACATGCTTCCAGAATTAAATTGTCTTCTGAAAGCCATGTTACAATAAAGGCAGCATTGTTTAAGCAAAAAGCAGTCTGATTTTTTTGATACCTTTTTTTTATTAACTATGTTAACCTGATTGACATTAGCATTTAAATATTTACTGCTTTTTGGGGAAATAAGATGCTAGATTTCTACAAATATTGGAAAGAAACTATAGCTTGTTTTTATTAAGCTGTTTTTCTGATGTCTATGGAACCTTGGCTTATTTTTTTTCTGTTCCCTTCCCTTTCAGATTTTTATATCCATATTAATATCCATTGGGAATACACTATCACCTCAAAAGTTTAGATAACTGACCACCATCCTCAGACAAATAAGTAGTTAATACAGCGATGATTCATCCTGTTTTAGAACAGTTGTCAAACGATTTTCTGTTTTTAACACAGCCGTTGCAGGCAAGCTGACCATGGGAGGTTTTTACATAATGTGGAATGATAAAGCAGAAATGTGTTTTGAGGCAGAGCTTTGTCTATAATTCATGGTGAGACCAATGTTAAAGGTGAGAGGCCTGGGAAACCAGGTGCGAGTGGAAATGCTAGTCTGTCATACAGCTGGTTAAAGAAGCAGAATGGTTCGGTTAAAATATACTCTTGTACTCCTCACGCGTTCTGAAATGGTGACATCCTTTCTGTGCAAAAAATACTGTTTAAAAAAAACCACAACACACAGAAAAACCCTGCAAAACAATTATATAGTTCCCCAGGTTTTTTTTTTTGTTTTGTTTTTTTTGTTTTCTGTGTGTTTAAAGAGCATTTCAAATGACCTCCATGCAGGCTGGCCTCTTTCTCAGTGTGTGATGTAGGCTGTGCAAAAGATGGTAGCCAGATGGAAGGGGACAGGAGTCTCTTCATTTCCTATGGAGTGAATGTATAGTTTGTGGCACCGTAAACAAGTTATCTGCAGGAATGTGAGATGGCTATTGTGAAGGTCAGCCCTAGCAAATATCATTAAAGTCTTCACGACAGTGTGTGTGTGCTGAGATGCATTGCAGATGATTTCACAAATATCATCTGCAACATTTTACTTGGATTATTTGCTGTATCCCACTTCTATTAAAGTCTGTCTGTCTTGCTGTGAATCTGACTCATGGTTCAGGGTCCAAAGGGACAGAAACATTGAAATTTGGTATTTGAAGACCAACAGTACTTTTTCTAGATGTAACAAAAATAAAAATCCTATTTTTACATGAATATGCCAAAATCTCCCAGAGTTGGAAGCACGCCTCTTTGTCCTGTTAGGGATTAAAAGGAAGATTCCCAGCTTTCTGTTTAAAGCCCCTTTTTATAGGTTACACGTGTAGCTTCAGCTTGGGCACTTTCTGATTTAAGTGCTTAAAACTCAACTTCCATGCTTCCTTAACATTTTCATGAGAATTGTAAAGGTATTTATAAAACAAAAAAAAAAATATGAGCACAGCAACTGCTGCAGACCCTGCAGGGAGGAGAGCCCCTTGACCGCCTGGCCAAGACTTGAAGCAGGCAAGCGTCCAACCAGTTTGTTCAACTTCACTAAAACATTCACTACAAAGCTTCATCATCTTGCACGTCGGCCCAGCTCAGCCCTTCCTTCGCTGCAGAGTTGGAGCTTCACAG